GAATGACAGCAGTATTTAGCTGCAGTGTATATGTGATTTTTGAAACACTGATCTTATTTTTGGTTTCATGCATTTTACCCATAATTTGTGTTTCCCACGTATTTCTGAGTAATTACTCAATCAATATTCTTACTAAACAAAGCAAGGGGGGTGTTGCTTATTGTGAGAGTGAGAGTTTTAATTTACTCACATTCCTTCCTTTTTCATTGCCAAATCCCACAGGAAAATCAAGTCTTAATGAGTTGTTCCATTACTGGACTAATGAGGCATTGAAAGAGTTTAAATTCCAAGTCAATTTAACAGTTTCTGTAAATAGGAATATTATCACATGTCTGATTTCATTCTGATTATTTATTTTAGAATAGAGTGGGTTTGACACCACACTAGCTGCTGTTACTGTGTGGTACTCCCAATATGGCACAATACAATTTGGCCAAACAAAAATAGACAGAATGTGGTGGCAGGGTTTATAAATCATCAAAACATTGTCTCTCAACTGAAAGGTAAAGCCTCTATGCTATGTAACATTCTTTGAATATTATTCAGCATCTACCAGCAGGGGTCAGCTGCCCATGCTCACCAGCCAAACCCTCACCTCTTGGTTCCAAATAATAGTGAATATATTGCTGGACGGGTTAATGGACAATAATCACAGCCCTGTTACCATGGAGACACCATGGACACAGATAACTCTAAAGCATGAGTAATCAGCATATATGCACTGAGGAATACTGAGCTTTTAACATCTCAGAGTCACAATCAACCCTTTTAACTCTGTCTGATCTTTTCCACTTTAATTTGGAGTTTCCTATTAAAGCCACAGAAGTTATTTAGTGAAAGATACTGCACAGAGAGTAGCTGAAGACATCATGTCAGACAAACAGGGTGCTCCATCTAAATGTATCACCTTGAAAAAGGTGTTATTCTGTCTCACCTGCCTGTGTATTTCCGTATTTGATTATTTCTGCAGTGAAAATTTGCTTTTCTGGGAGTTTGGGAAGAAGCTCCCTCTCTCTGGTTCATGCCTTAAGTGGGTGAAGAGAATAAATGGATTTAATAGTGTTGTTGATTTAATAATGTTGTTATTATTATTATAATTATTATTATTATCATCATTGTGTCAATTTAGAGTAGGAGTGTTGCCAGGAATTGTCATTATGTGGCTGTCCCGTATCACATTCTTACACACACACACACACATACATATCACATATGCAAGATTTGTCAAGCATGAGGAAAACAAACAGCAATAAAAATCCTCAGAAATTTTCACTTTTGATTAGTTTGCTCTTCACTCTCTGAGGCAGAAGTATCCAAACTCATCCTTTCTAATCATCCTACTACTTGTCCGCTTGATCCTATTCCATCTCATCTCCTTTAACCTGTTAACCTGCACCCCCCATTTTGGGACTCACAGCTGAAAATGACCTACCTAACTTAAAATGGTAACAGTTCCTGACTTCAGTGTGCTACACACACAATTTTGGTGTCTTCATATCACTGCTATGCTGATGACACTCAACTCTACCTCTCATTCCATCCTGATGATCTGACGATAGCTGCTCGCATCTCAGCTTGTCTAACAGACATTTCTTGCTGGATAGACATTTCTTGCCAAGACAGAACTGCTTGTGGTTCCATCAAACCCATCGTTTCATCACAATTTCACATTCCAGTTAGACACACAAACCATAACTCCTTCAAAAACAGCCAGAAACCTTGGAGTTACAGTTGATGATCAGCTGACTTTCTCAGACCACATTGCTAAAACTGCCTGGTCCTGCAGATTTGCTTTATTCAACATCAAGAAGATCAGGCCCTTTCTTTTCGGAACATGCTTAACAAATCCTTGTTCAAGCTCTTGTTCTGTCCAAGCTGGACTATTGCAATGCTCTCTTGGCATCTCTTCCAGCCAGTTCTTTCAAACCTTTACAATTAATCCAGAATGCGGCAGCAAGATAAAT